CCAGCTATGCTGCTTTAATGCCAGGGCTAGTACTGACACTGAATACTGCCTTTTTCTCTCCCTTCCCGGCTCTCAGAGCTGAGCATTCTGCTTCCTACTTGGTCTGCAGGTAAAGGGCCATGGAGGTATCATCTGCTTGAGCTGGGAGCTAAGCTGGCCTCTTGGCTGCTTTTCTTCCATTTCCCACCTGGCACCATACCAAGAGAAGCGCTCAATTACTATCAGTTCCCTGGCTCTGATATTTGGGGGCTTTCCATGTGGCTAATGCTTTAGGAGATCTCTGCAGCCCAAAGCAGCACATGCCCTGGTTGTACTGGGGAAGAGGGGGATGATGTTTGGTCCACTGCTGCTACTTTTTCTGATCATCATCCTGATGCTCTGGAGCAAAGAGCTCCTGTGCTCCTCCTTTGAATGCAGGTGAGGAGATGAAGCTAAGAGTGGTTGGCCTCTTTCCTAAAGCTTTTTGCTTTAAGGCTCCATCTCAAAAGGAAGTAGGAGGACTCCAGGCAGTATTGACCCCACCCATCTCTGCGAATGCTCCTCTGACTTCCCAAACTCTGAGATACAGATCCTGAGGCTCACAGCTTATTTTGGTGGGTGCCTGATTACATGTGGCATCTTTAGCAATTTTGCCTGCTGCTGCCTTATCAGAGAACCGTGCCATAGGGCTAGAAATCACACTGTAGCATTGCTTAAGGATGTGGAGATGCATTTGTACCATGAATACCTGTACGTGATTTGCTCACTGTACCTGTTCCTTCAGCTCCAGCTGTTTCCAGGATTATGATGTGTGAGGGAGCAGTATGGCTGTAGGCACTGCAGTTTGCATTTTATACCCCTCTCATTTTACTTTTTGTTTATGGCAAACAGTGCTTCTTGTTTTGAAACCCCTGAGAAAGCTGTGATAAAAATGAGCTGGGAAGTGGCATGTGAAAGGCAGATGGAGCCTTGCTTATGCCAAATTGTGCCAGTTTGGATGGAGCCCCAAAGGAGCAAATACCACTTTAGTGAAGAGTTCCTCATCCATGACAGGCTAGCAGGAATTAACCAGTCTCTGGTGCTTACATAGTGAGGAGGCTTGTGGAGTTGGGGGGAATCTCCTCTGACTTTAAGGAGGATAATGTGCCATTCATGATGGGGATGACAGGTGCCTTGCTCAGACATGGAGCCCAAAACCACACTATGCGTCATCAGCCCTGTGTGCCAGGAATGAAAGCTAAGATGTGTCAGGCTGCTTTCTGGGAAAAGGGCTTGGTCGTTCCAGTCTGGGCTGTGATTGCTCTGAAACAGCCCCCCAGCTTCCTGGCACCCAGTCGGGAGGCAGAGAATCCCCCATCAACCCCATCCCTTGAGGGGAAGGATGGGTGTGGGAAAACAAACACCATTCAAAGCATGTGGCTGGGCACTTTGGTTGCCTTCATTTGCTTTCTCAGCCTTCAGCATAGCATTTTGTGGAGAAACACCGCCAGCATTCATTGTACAAGATGCTGTTGTTGCATTAAATATTTTGTGCTTGTTTTTAAATAAACTCTGGAGCAGAGTCTTGTTCTGCTGCATCCCAGGAGGCTGTAGTGCTCAGTAACAAAAGGCAACTCCATAACGGCCACTTGTTTGTGCCTGGGAATGAAGCTGGCCTTTATTCCAAAAGCCTTCCAGGGTTTTTTTGTGGTTTTCTGAGATCAGGCCAGTCATCACTGCCCTCTCCCCCGCCTGGCTGCACATTCCTACTGCTCCCACCCCACCAGTCACATCCGCTGGGCTCTGGTCAGGAAGCTGCACATGGTGCACATCTTCTTCCCTTCCCTGCTTTCCTTCTTGCTGTTTCCTTGCTTGACAGTAGAGCTGGTGAAGCGTGAGCGGGAAGAGAAGCGGGAAGCCAGGACAGTTCAAGGTCTGCATGGCCTGTCTGGGGTTGGAGTTCAGCAGGTCAGTTTTGGTTTTGGTTTTTTGAAGCTGCCAGAAACCCCAGCAAGAAGCAAGTACAGAGGCCACTGGAAGACTTTCCTAAAACAGCAAATATCCATGTTTCCTCTTGGTCTCCTCCATCAGTTGAGGTTCTCACTGGGCCTTCATTTCCTAGTTTTCAGAGCAGGACTTTCCTAGCCACCAGTGGCTTCTATGTGATCTCTATATCAGAAAAATATTTTTTACAGTGAGAACAATCATTCCCTGGAACAACCTCCCCAGAGCTGTGATAGAGTCCCTATCACTAGAGGTTTTCAAGATCTAAGTGGGCAGGGTGCTGCATAGTCTCAACTAGGTTCCCGTTCGCACAAAAGGTGGACCTTTGAGGATCCTTTGAGGTCCCTTACAACCTGGGCTACTTTATGACTCTGTGATCTCCTGACTATATTTGTTCAACCTGGAAGTTGCCTTCAGTGATTATTTTGAAGAATTTGAGAATAAAATCTTCTGTCCATCCATGGGAGTGACCTGGTCGATGGGGTCCCAGCATCATGCTGCTTGGTCTCCAGATATGCTGCGTCTGCTTTGCTACCCATCTACTGGGCTGGTTATCATGAGTAGTGACTTCTCAGACATGGAAATGACTTGCCTCCAACTCAGCTTTGTCTTCTCTCTGCTGTCCTAATGGGAGAAGAAGTCAGAAACTGCTGCACTCAGGGGTGAGCAAAGTTCATTTTCCCAAAGCAACTTGTGATGAAGACTCTCCAGTTGAGTCACCCAGGGCTGTAAAATGCAAAAACCAGACATGGTTTGGGTTGAAAACCCAAATCAGCAGCTTCACTGGTACAAGCTGGTGTGGTGAGGGCTAGTTCTTGGGCATTAGCAGATCCTGGTGACAATAAGTAGACTATTTTTTGAGACACCACTACTGATTTGTTCTTCTTTGTGAGACAGCAGTTATGTAGCATCTGACAATCTCCATCAGTCTCTTTTGGCCTTGGCAGGTGTTCAGCAGACAGCCTTCATTTTACAGAATTCCTTCGTGCCTCCTCAGCCCCTTTGGGGCCCCTCTACCCCACATACAGCTCAGCCCAGCTGCCACCGCCGCTCCACCTCATGTCATCTCCAGCCGTTGCGATAAAACCACAAAACTTTATCTGCTGGCCTGTCCTTTCCAAGAAACTCTCCTGGGAGGTTTCTTGTGCTTGCTTTTCCCTTCTTTTTGCACCCTCACGTAAGGAGGTGTCTCACCCCCACTTGGGAAGCTTCAACAACCCAGTTGCCTGTTGGGTTTTTGTGGCTACTGGGTGCTGTTGAAATCCCTTCAGTTCACATCAGGAGATGCAACTCGTGCCTCCTTCCCCTTTTGCTGGCAGCATTGCTGCAAGGATGTTGGTGTCTCCGGCCACAGCTGCCGTCAAGTTTTGTGAAGAGGGGCTTCCTGCGGGGTCAGCATGCTCCATTGTGCCGGTGCTTCCCTTGCAGCTGGCTTCCTCCCTCCTGCGGCACCTAAATATAGCGCGAGTGCGGTGCCGGTGAGAAACACCGTCCGTCCGGAGAGTCCCAGCGCCAGACGTGCTGGGGTGGCATATCCGTCACTGCCTCTCGCTGAGTCGGCCCTTGCATCAGTGCTTGCATTGTTCGGGTGCTGGTGATTTTTGTTTTAAAGAGGGAAGAAGTGGGAGCCAAAGTTTACCCTCCCCCAAGTTTGACATATCCGTAAGGGAATTTTAAACAAGTCAAGACCATTATTATGTATCTGGTGTTTTAGAGAATGGTTTACTTGACTTGACTCTGCTCTCAGTGCACGCCCTTTAGACTTTGCACTTTAATTATCAGAAGATTGTTTAAAAGCTACAGAGATAAGAAAAATCTTAAACATGACGAGCATGTACAAGCAATTTTAATCTTGAGCTCTGTTTATATGTTAGGGCTGTTCCTAAAGGAGAGCTGACAGACTGATTAATAACTACTAAACATTTTGTCTCTTAGCAGAAGAAAACATTTCACTGAAGGAATGTGTCTCCCAAGCACTGTCTTGCTGTTACCTGTGAGATGTCCCATGTTCTTTTATTCTCATCATGATACCTTTTTTTTTTTCTCACTGTCCTTTAAAAATGACTGCAGTCTTGCCTCATTTGTAATTATTTGGTTATTTTTTACATGTATCAAATTGCTTTTGGATGAGAAGTAGGATTCACTTAGAGAGTAGTAGAACCACAATACTTGAGAATATTAGTTAGCCAAAAATGCACTAAATATAAGGGATACACCAGGAGAAAGCTGTGTCAAATTTAACTGAGCTGGGAGTGTTTGGCTGAGTTATCACTATGGCTTCACCAGTCTCGGTCTCGTGGTTGCTGAGACCATGGTGATTACTCATGGCAGCAGACTTGAGCCTTGAGCCAGCTCTTGTTTCCCGAATGAATAAACTTCCATTCCTGTGTTTTTTGAACCACTCCCGATGCCTCATTTCAAGCTTTGAACTAGTTATAGTGCAAGTTGGCTATGCAAATTCAGTAAGTTCAAGTAAAAAATGTCATATTCGCTGAAGAACCTATAACAAAAAAGTCAGATTTTATTACATGAGATGCTTAAGCAGTGCTGTTCCCTTAAGTTTGTGGTTCACATGCCTTTAAAATGTTAGCCAAATCAATATTTGTATGATGTTAAATATAAATAAACCATATGCCTTACTGTTTATTTTAAAAGATATGCTAACTAATCATTTTCATCTCTCCTTAAATATTTAAAACAGCATGCCAGGGGAACTCCCTGCTACAGCTTTGAGGACGCTGTAAAGCCCTTCTCTTTCCTGATACATCCTCTGTTTAGTACTGCTTGAGCTCTCTGTTTCCTCTGATTTGGGAGGTGATGGAGTTATTAGAGTTTTGGTGTTAGTAGCTTTAAACACTTTGAGACCCAACTCATGTACGTTGTGTTCTACTATGTCTGCTGCCACCTCTACTCATACCTCTTCGGCCTTAATCCTGCACACCTGTAGTTATCCGCCCTGGGCAGCCAGAAGGTCTGGCCTGGCACTAAGATGCTGCTGTGCAGAGCTCTGCAGTAACGTGTCTCACTTTCCCTTGCAGGAATCTACATCCTGATCGCAGTTGGAGCTGTTATGATGTTCGTGGGGTTCCTGGGATGCTACGGTGCTATTCAGGAGTCTCAGTGTCTTCTGGGAACGGTAAGAGGCACAAAGCTTTGGAAGCTACTTGGCACCACGATCTCCCTGCCAGGCATCACATGGCTGTGCCTTCCTTGCTGGGGTCTTTTCCGACAAACGGGACTGGGAGGATATGTGAGCATGGAGGTGGGAACTAGGTGACCTCTGCAAGGAGCAAGGCAGCGCTGTTTGGCCAAGGGCATCTCTGTCCAGCCCATGGAGCTCCAGCTGAGCTGGCAGGCTCTTGCTTGTGCCTGGCTGCAGGGAAGAGGGTGAAGCCAGCAGCATAGCAGAAGGGGTGAGATCAGCAGGACTCTTAGAGACTCATTTCCTCTGTTATATGTGAACCCTCCCCTTGCTTCTATCTCCCCCATGGTCTGGCTGTCTTACCAAGCACCCATTAAACCCTCTTTCTTACCTAGTGTCCTCTACAGCTTCCCCTCTCACTCCTTCTCAAGGCTGCCTGTGGCAATTCCAGTTCTTTTAGGGAATCATCTACTATTTTTATTTGTTTGGACAAGGAAACAGCAAAGGCTTCCCACAATATGTTAGTAAGAACATCTAGGTACGTCCTGGAAAATCCATTACTAAAGTGCTACAGGTGTCCTTGATTTGAGGCAGCAGCTTGAGATTCCTGGCACGGGATGAACTTAATTGTATAAACTATAGACACACCAAAAGCCTTTGCCTTGAGGGCAAGGGAGACCCATTTATTTAAAGCAAGTTCTCACATGTGGTTCAGCTTTAAACTCGATGCATAAAAAATAAAACTGGAGGGGTAAAACATAATTTTTTTAAATTTTTTTTTAAATTGGAATGACTTTTTAGCGCTTGGCTTCATTGGGCTGGAGGATTCTTTGTGGTGGTGTAGTGACTCATGGGTGTGGACTCAGCTGGGACAGAGGGAAATGGAGCTGCTTTCCCTTGCTCTTGCAGATTACTTCACCTCTGGTTGCTGCTGATTTCCAGTTAGAAGGGGGTGCTTCTCCCCAGTGTTTATAAAGCGCTTCTGAACGTCAGTGGATGGGAGCTGCTGTAGGAGTTTGTAGGCATTATCCCTGCTGCTGGGAATAGGAGGAGCCCGCACACAAATCTGACGGGGTTTGTTGTAGCAAGGTCTGGCAGCTTTGGATTTTAATTTATTTTGTTAATGCAAGTGATTACAGACCCTGAATTACCCCTCACTCCCTCTTGAAGTTGGAAAGAGGATTAGAAGGGCAGATGGTACAACGTACCTGAGGCCCGACAGGGAAACCGTCTGCTTTGGCTGAAATTAGTAGCTCTAGCTGCTGTGAGCTGTCTGTGTTTGCTCACACCTTGGCTTGCTAAGAGAAGGCTGGAGATGCCTTGTAAGGACACTTTCCGCTGGCCAAGGCTCCCACCGTGCTCCAAGGACATTTCCAGGCAGCGTCCTCAGGGTGTTGCAGGGAAGCAGCCACACTCCCTGCTCCTTCAGCTTGCTGATGGAGTGACTATGGGCTTATTGCAGAAGGGAAAAGTACCAGGAAGCTCCACACTATCAAAATCCTGTGTCAAAGGCATCATGGATGCTGAGCGACAAGACCCGAGGAAGGCAGGAGGGAGCCACTTGGCATGGAGCAGGCTCTGCTCCCTGGGAAGGGGCTGGGACACATCCAGCTGCCTGGCCAGGAACATCACTGTGTTCCCATAGCATTAAGCTGCATCTCTTGGTGTTCTGCAGCCAACTTGCAGAAGAACTGAGTCTGCAGGAAGTTGTGGCTGCAAATCTGGGATAAACAAGCCATCCTTCACTGGAGGGTAACCACTGCAAGAATGAGCCCTTGTGCTTAACCAGAGAATTAGAGTGGCATCATGCCCACAATTTAGGGTGATGTGAGTCCTTGGGGCGATGTGGGACCCAGTCCCCCAAAGATATTCCTACGGAATCAGGGATAGATAGATGTTAACACAGGAGTTGGTTGTTCAGGAACTGGACAAGGATGTTGGAAGTCCTTTCCTGTTATCAGGTTAATAGTCTTGTTTCCATTTTGCTGATAACCCTTTGCTCTTGCACATGAGAGCCAGGTCATGGCATCATTCTGGAAACTCCCGTTTCCTCTGTTGTTGAAGAAAACGTCCTGAATGTGTCTGGAACAGAGACTGCCCAGGAGCCAGGGGCTTTTGCATCTTTAATTCCATGGCACCTCTCCTGCTTTGGGGCTTTTCCCAGGAAGAAGCCACTAAGTGATACTGTCACAGAGGTGATGTTGGCTGCATATGAAGCGTGCCTCTCTGTGCCTTCTCACCTGACTCCGATGTATGAGCTTTACAGCTTCCCATTCCTAGTCTAACAGACCAACCATCACAATGTGTTCTGAACAAAAAGATGGAGGGAGTCTTTGGGGGGGGTGGCAGGGAGGACTGCTGGAATTGTACAAACAGGGTGGGACTGTGGGAAAATGTCCGTGTTAGTATTTATGCAAAAAACTGCAGTAGCCTTGCAGGGCTGTGGATGCTGGAGAGCTGGTCATAAATCACACCCTGACATCCCCAGCTCCTCAGCAGCTGAAATGTGCTTTTAACCCCTCACTGGCAATTCCTGTCCTTGGAGCACTTGTGGCAGAGCAGGAACATTGTCTGGAGGGTCCTGCAGGTGTATGCAGAGGAACAACATATCTTGTGGTGCTCAGGGCATCTTCATCCCTGCCATACCTTTGTGGGAAAGGCTTTCTAACCCCTGGTCAGCCATCCAGTGGGAAGCCTGGACATGGGGTGGCATCCAATGAGTTACAGGAAAACATGTTTGGGCTAAGTGTGTGTATGAGAGATAAAATGGTTTGAAGTCAGATGACACCTTGCTCTGATCTCTGTCAGTACAACCACACCTCTACCCACCTAATTGCTGCTTTTGCCTGTAGCCAGATATGTTAAGGACCCCTCTTTTGATTTGTCTTTGCAGTTCTTCACTTGCCTGGTGATCCTGTTTGCCTGCGAAGTTGCGGCTGGAATTTGGGGCTTTGTCAACAAAGACCAGGTAAGACAACTCTGATACCTGTGTTTGTGGGACTGGGAGGCCTGGGCAGAACCACAGCAGATCCTGACACAAACTGTTTTGCTTACAAGCTGCTCCCAAACCGAGTCATGGGGGCTTGGATTAGTGATGTGACCTGGGCAGGTCACCTAACTCCTCTTGGCCGGGCTGATGAACTTTAAATGTGAGCACTTGACAGTAGCAGCTGCCCCTTAGGGTATGTAGTGCAATGTCTAGAATAAAAATAGCCTGTCTCGCTTGGGTCTCCTCCGTGCTGCCACACTGTCAGTCACAGAGTGAGTTGATTCATGCATGAAGTCGTGAAGAAAAGCCATCTGCACATCCTAGGTGCCAAGGAACAAAGAGTGAACCCAGCCGCATAGTGCCAAAGGGAGGGAATACCGTACGGGGAGAGCCAGCATTAACAGGATTGCTTGGTGCTTCCTACTGTTCAGCAGTATCATATAGCCTGCTTTGGGCTGTTTGTCTGCCAGGACTGGGCTTGCTGCTGATCCATAAGTTGTGCACGCACAAGGGGTACAAACCCTCTGTCTGTACCAGGCTCCCTTCTAGGGACCGCTCGGATGAGGTTTTCTGGTTGGAGGGGGTGAACTAAAGGGTAGAACTGAAAATTGCAGCTTTTCACCTTCTGTTTCTGCTCACCTTCCTTTCATAACGGTCACATGTGCTCACAGACATGCAGAGTTTCATCTCGAAGTGCAAAACTGTCCGTGTATGGGAGCTATGGCTGTACTGCAGCAAGCAGCGGGCTGGGTGTTGATCATTGGGCCTCGAGGGTTTGGAGGAGAGAAGGGGACTGCTTGTACTCAAAGCCAAGGTTAGACTCTCTTGGCAGAGTAGGAAATGTGTTTACTTGACTAAGAGACGAAAGCCAGCTGTGTAAGTAGGTGGTGGCCTGCTCAGCTTTCACATGCATTTAGTCCATGGCTGATGGGCTTGGCCTGAATGGGAACACCCGTGTAGTCATTCAGCGGGAGAGAGCATGACTTCACTGGAATAAACTCTTCTGTGGCTAAACATATTATTATGCAGGCAGGGTGCTGTTTCCTAGCAACTTTAGTGAACTAATTAACCTCTGCAGAGGGGCTGTGCCTCCCGCAGATGTTAGTTTGTGAATCCTGAAGAGTCCAAGATGTGCAACTGCAACCAACAGCAAAAAAAGTGAAGGCTGAGTAAGGAGATACCCCATGGCTGTTGTGTTCTGTCCTGGGGAGAAGGCGCTTGGATATTAGAGCATAAAGCTGAGAAATTTAGGATTTGCTAATACAAGAGCGATGACCTCAGCCCCTAAAATTAATTTTGCAGTTTAAAATGAAGGGTGGCAGCCTGTTGGCATCAGCTGGTTTTACAGCCTTGATGATGAATGGGCTGTTTTGAAGTCTCTGCTCACAAGGCAGGTGGGTTGCTTCTCCCTGCCTTGGCTGAGAGCAATGCAAGCTGGGAGGGAAGTGCAGAATGATCCCAGACATCAAGAGCTGCTTCCAGCAGGGACACTCTTCCACAAAGCTGGAGGCAGTGTCTCCCTTAGCCTACCTTCTTGGAGATGCTTTAGAATCAGTAGGATTATTTTTATACTTTTTTCATGTACCAGAATCAAATGGTTTGATTGGAGAACACTGCCCTCCAAAGCAAACTTTTTTGAGCAGTGACAAAGGAACTCTGGGATAATTGATTGAAATCATGCTCCTTCTTGCTGCAGTTTCTTTTTTCATGTGCTAATCCAGTCTGTGCTGCCAAGAGCAGATGTTCTAGAAAGTGTTTTCCCTTTCTTGCTCATATAGGGTTTTTTTTCCTTCTCTTGCACGTCCTCCTTTCATCTGTCTCTTCCAAATTATTGGAAGGCGTTAAAGGAGAAATCACAAGGCCAGTATCCCTGATAATCAGGAGGTTCTTGCACTGTGGAGCAGACCCCCATGGGTGGCTGCAGTTCACCAGCCAGTGGCAGGGTTAGAGTATGGATGAAACTTTTCACATAACCACTTACAGGACAGGGATGCCCAGCTCGGGGTAGGGACACAGCCAGAGTTTGACATCCACCTAAATGCACCTAAGCTGCCTGACCCAAGTGAGCTGCCTCATTAGGTTTTAGTGTGCAATCTCTCCCAAATTCCTGCCATCCCCTCCAAACCAGCAAGCCAAGGTGCCCATACCTACAGCTGGCCGTGCTTGCGCACCCCACCTCCTCATGACTTTTCCAGCATGTCCTGCCTCTGCAGCCTCAGTGGCAAACATGTTGCCTGCCTGCTTTGTCTCTATGTGTTGTGTGGTTCAGAACAAGCCTCTTCTGCATTCCTGAGCCCAGAAGCACGTTCACATGGGGTGAAGGCTATCTCAGATCTTGTGGTTCACCCTCCAGGCCTTGGCTGTCTTTATCTGCTAGAGAGAGCTTGTGGAGCCCTTGGATAGTGTTGGCTGGAATCTGCTGGCTGGTGGATGAAGTTCTTAATATTTGCTGTTCTTAACATGCTACAGCTGGAGGGGCTTGAGCCCTATGGAAGACAGGCCTTTTTTCACATGTCTGTGCAAACAAGGGGGGGGGTCCTAATGTATTTTAAAACTGCTCATCTTACTGCGAGTCTCATGAGATGGGATCTGTCCCCTTCAGGCACATCTGCTGGATGGGTTTCCTCCTCTTTCTCTGGCTGAAAGAGAGTTTTTCCTATGTCTTTCCCAGATAGCCAAAGATGTGAAGCAGTTCTACGATCAAGCGCTTCAACAGGCGCTCATGGGAGAACCGGACGCGAACAACGCGAAAGCCGTAGTGAAGACCTTCCATGAAACGGTGAGATGTTGCTGCTCTTGCTGCACGTCCTGCTTAGGCTGCATGGAGTCAGCCAGAGCTGGCACTGATGGAGAGGGTGTGCTGCAGATCACAGCTGGTGAACTTCTGTGGGCGGTTTGTCTGTGGGTAGGTGTTGACAGGAGCAACTGTCCCTGTATGTGGACTGATCCTCCCCACCGAGGCAGAGGCAATAAGTTGAACTACAAGTCTTGGGCAGGGAACGAAGGCAATGTTGGGATTTTAATGCTTATGAGAGAACTGGAGTGAACTGAGTGAACTGGATCAAATATGTTCATAGCACTGGGATTTTGCTGCCTGCTTTCTGAGTTTCATGTAGAAATCTCTTCTCCATAGAAGTTTCCTGCTGCCAGAGTAAATGAGAACATGGGAGGAAGGAGAATTAATAATGGAGGTCAGGAAAATGAATGGGAAAACCAGAGTCTAAAGCAAGTGATGCTTTAGACATGCAGGTCTTAGCCTGTCAAGTTTGCTGTTTCAAGAAGCAGAGTTGCACTCTCTTCAATATTCTGGCCTTCAGACTGTGGTGGGAAGTCTGGCTCAGGCTCTAATTAAGTTGCTTTTCATTTACTTCAGCACTCCTGATTTAAATAAAAATTCAGTGGAAGAAGGATGTAGCTCTGAGTAACTAATCCTGATACTTGCTCCATTCAGCAGGAAACAAAATCTCTGGAGAGAGCTGGATTCACTCTTCTCCAGGATAGCCATGCCAGATCTGTCTGGGACTACTGTAGGAAGCAGCTGCATTGCATGGAAAGAAAAAAGGGTTAATTTAGTGACTTATTGTCCTCCCTTGTTTCCCCTTCCAAGATGCCTCCTCAGTCTTGGGTGGCTTCAAGGAAGTGTAAGGGTAGGGAGAGCACTGCATGAGTGTTTGCTGTCTGCTAATGCTGGGTTTTGTTGGGTTTTTTTTCCTCTCTCCATGTAGCTGGACTGCTGTGGTTCCGATACTTTAACAGCAACTTTCACTCCCGTGTGGAGGGATGACCTCTGCCGAAAGGACTCCCTGAAAAGCTTTTTTGAGGTAGGCTCTTCAGTCAGCACAGCTGCTATGAGAAACCTCAGCTGCCAAGGAAATTTGGGGACTTCTTGGGAATTAGATAAAGAGTAGAGATTTATTTGGGGATGATGTAGAAGGATGTTGAATGTTCCCATTGGTTCGTCATTTGCTGTTCCTGGCTGAGGGGGCTGGCAGGTGTGGAGGGTTGAAGTCTGGTCAGAAGTCCTGGAGCCAGGACCTAGGAACATAAGCAGGACAGTGAGAAAGCTGACCTGCCTTTCTGGGTGGTGGAGGGGAGGTGAGGGGAAAGCAGGATATCTGACCAGTGTGTTCTCTGCTTCAGAACTCAAACTGCCACAGAAAAATCGATGAACTGTTCTCTGGGAAGCTGTACCTGATCGGTATCGCTGCTGTCGTGGTCGCTGTGATCATGGTAAGCGTGACAGCATGGCGGGACGGGGAAAAGCCACCTCGGGGTGCCCTGGTCCTCTTCCAGCTGGGCTGGATCCATCCTTCTCCTCCAGATGCCCCTGCAGCTCAGCATGCAGCACCAGCCCTGGGCACCTCAGCTGCTCTGGAACATGGCAAGACTGAGGGCTTTGTTATCCCTCCATGGAGTCGAGTTGTTAGGGGAGGCACCTGACAAGCTCAGTGGAGCAGGAGCCACCTGCAAACCCGTCCAGAAGGGCAGAGCACCATTGAAACCTGCTCACTGCCTTCAAAACCACTTGTTTCACAGGGTGCTGTGTTCTGTTACTGGGGTCTGCAGTGGGAAAAGATTTGCTTGTTTTGCCATGTTGGGTTTTCTCCCTAGTGAGGGGTGGGTGGCATGGGCTGGTAACCCAGCGCCTGTACAAAGGCTGGGCTGTAATGCTGGAGCAATCTCGAGGCATTTGCTGTCCAGTTGGCAGCCAGGAAGCTTGTAATGTAACACCGCTGCTGCCAGAGAGAGACAGGAGAACATAATCTTATCTCAAATTGGCCAAATCCTAATGAAAACAGCAGCAAAGATGTAGCATCTCTGCCCTTACCTCTAGCATGAGAGTGGATTGGGGGACCTTGGGATGGAGTGGGGGACCTGCATCATACTGGTTGGCACCTCACTGGTGCTATTGTGTCTCTCAACAGATCTTCGAGATGATCCTGAGCATGGTGCTGTGCTGTGGCATAAGGAACAGCTCCGTCTACTGAGCCGTGAGAGCCAGGGAGGGGAAGGGGGGAGCAGGGAAGACGGCGCTAGAGGGGACCCCAAGTGCCACCAAGTGACCAGGAGACATTTCAACAACAGACAAAGAAAACTATGTATATAAATGCTTCCAATATTACCATACAGTACTTACCATTTTTATTTTGAAGTACTTTTTTTTTGTTTGTTTAATAAATAAAACTTTCCCGTATCTTTGTGGCTGAGTTAGTTACACATCAGTTTTGTGTGATGGGAAAGCTGCTGTAGCAGGAGATCAAGTCCTTTCTCCCCCTTCCCCACCCCCAGTAACTCAGAATGGTGGAAGATGTGCAGAGGAGAAGGCTGCAGCCTGTTACCAGAAAAATTTTGCCTTGGTTTTACTGACTTTTTTTATTGGATGCTGAAGCAGATTTTAGCGGTTTTGTTAATTTGTACTCATCTTTTCCAGCCATCACCCCAACTCCCTGGCATTTCCAGGCTGTCCACAGGGAAGCCTGGCTGACTGCCTGAAGCCTGGGAGAGAGGAGAGGAAACAGCCTCCGTTGCCTGGGTGCGATGTAACCCAGGGGAAACTTGGGTGCATTGTTCCTCTCCAACCTGTTTGCATCGTTAGGTCAATCCTTAACAGAGGTCATGCTTCAATTTTTTTACTCTATAAAGTGTAAAAATGGTTTTTGGTTTTATAGGTTTTTTTTTCCCTTGGGGCTAAACTTTATAAATTTGCTCATTTCCATTGATTCATTACATTAAAAGGTCAGAGGGTGAATTTTCGTCCCAGTTTTTCAAATATAAACTGAAAATTAAGTTACTTTTTTAACCTCCTTCAATATTTCATTGTAGACATATGTTTTGGGGACAGTCTAGTTCTATACCAACTTTCCACTGTTAAACTAATGCTCACATAGAAATTATATTGGAAAAAGAAGAAAACATTAAGAAAATAGTTCTTGACTTTAGAAATCTTTTAGCAGACTTTAGACTGCTTTTATGTACTGCAGGATGACACTTGGGTGTTGCCAACCATATGCATACATCCTTAAAATTTGATCTTTGCATCGCTGTCTTGTTCAATTAAATTTTCCTTAATTATGGCACATTGTCGCACACTGTAATATTGCTGGGAAATTGTCATAATCTGATTTAAAAATGAAAGTTTATTTTTAAGACCTTCCAGTTATATCAACAATAGATCAGCTTATAAAATCAAGGGAATTCAGGATTTTAGATCATACCAGTTGAAACACATTCTTGTGATCTGGTAACTTTGGTTATCAATTTGATGTATGTGGCTTCTTTTGTATGCCACTCCATTACCATGTAGATAGAGGGGGAGAGTGACCCAGGAGCTATGTAATAAAATCAGAATGTCACTAAAAAGATGATCTATATGTATAGTTCTATAGATATATATTTTTAAGCAAAGCCTTTCCCTTAGCCGTACAGGCACTTGAGCTGGAAATTACAGTATCTCTCAGCTTTTTGCCACCTTGAAGCAGGTAAGGGGAGGAGTTTAAATTAGTGATCACTTTCTCCACTTCAGGAATATTTCTGTTTCTTAAAGTGTTTCACTCTCCCCCTTTGTTGCAACAAAGAGCTTCAGATCTGATAGGGAGGGAGACCCGTGATCACTGATCATTTTAAACTAGTACCTTGTTCACTGCATATGGCTGCCATGGCCATTGCCACTACATCATAGAAAATTCCTGCACTGGGGCAAACTGATCCATTGAGAAGATTTTCCTCCCTTTGACTCCCCCCTTTCCTATTCCTGCCTTTTAGTATATAGGGCCTTTAAAAAGTATATAGGTAAATATATATATATATATATCTATCTCTCAAGTTGTGCTGGGTAAGAGGAGGAAGTGCTTCAACAGATCTTCATATTGAGGGGTCAGACAAGAAAAGATTCAGCCTTAGAAATAGCCTTAAAGCAACACTGCCCTGAATGTCCATGTTGTGCACATCGAGAATGAGGTGAGGTTTTGCAGTAGGTAACCCCTTCCCCTGCTCCCCAGCGTAGCTCCTTCAGGTCATCTACTCTGTTATGTGGCTATATGTATACGCATCATCCGAGCATGTGTGTTTACATCTATGTGCATCGAGATTGTTAGCATACAGAATGGATGTGTAACTTGCCGCCTTTTTTGTTGACTGTTGATAAATGTGTATAAATATGCCATTACGCATTTCAGTTCTGTTTTCTTTCCTTATACCATATTTTTGATATTGTTCAGTATTCAGTTGATGCTGTGTATGCAGCTGGAGCTCTGTTTGAAGACAGACTGGGTCTCGATGCAGGTCAGGTGTGTCCTTGGACAGTGTACCTTTAGGGGTTTGGGTTGTCCCAGGCAGGAGCAATTGGCAGAAAGTGGTACTTGGAGAGAGAATCTGAGAGCTTTAGGAGGAAGAGCAGGAAGTTTGCTAAGACCCTGTCCTGCAGGGACTGCAGTTTGCCCTCTGGCTCATTTCAGAGGTGGCTTGTCACTGAGGAGAGCTCCAGAGGCAGCTTCCTGGGCCACCTCCTGTTCCTGTGGCTGCTGCAGGAAAGGTGCTGAAGGAGGGGAGCAGCTAGCAGCTGGGAAGGTCACGGGAGAGGAGACAGAAGGATGTTTGCAGGAGAGGGCAATGCTTTCTTTAGAGTTACCAGCTGAATCCCTTTGATGGAATGGTCATCAGCTGTAGCAGGAGGGGTCAGCCCAGGGACAGAGAGGAACTGTCATGCTTAAGAATGATGAAGTAACTGAGAAACCCTGCCAGAAAAAACTACCCACTTGGGTCTCCTGTGAAGCTGGACCTGAGTTAACACAAACTAGAGAGGGAGCTGTGAAGGGCTGAGGACTTGCCCCATTGCAAGCATTCAGGATCCAAAAGCCACAGGGCTCTTCTGCCAGTTGGTCAGTCCCAAAGCTGGCTGAGGTGAAGGGGGGAAACCACTAGGTAGGACCCCTGCTCTGCCTCAGCCCCTCTCCTGCATATCTTAGCATTTGTGTGCAACATGGTGCCCTGTACTGCTCCCCTCCACAACCAAAAAAAAAATAAAAAGAAGAGATTAAATTGCAGGCTGTAAATACAAACCCCTCCTTCTCCATGGGAACATCCCTCCTGGAGCTAGTGACAGCTGAGAAAATGGCTGTGAGCTGAAGGAGGGAGGAGGAAAGAGGCTGGTGGAGGAGTGTCAACCGTCCAGGTCTGAGTTCAAAGACCACATTGAAAGGTCAAACAGAGCCGCTGACAGCTTAACTGAATGCTTGGGATTTTTTCATACTGTGGAGCATGCCACAAAGCAGTGTGTTTAACTTCTTTCTGCCTTTTTTTTTTTAAGAAATGAAACGAAAATCAATTTAATAAACATTTCTCATAGTGTGCATAGTGTGATGAACTGCTGCAATTTTACAACCAGTTAACCTTAACACCAGGATGCTTTGTGAACCAGGCTTCAACAGCACGGGTTTTTACAGCCTCTGGGAGGGGGGACCTGCAGGCAGGCTGGGGATGCATCAGAATAGTGCTGAGGGAAGGCAAGAAGGTTGCTTGCCAGCAGTGGTGGCTGCTGCAATTGTGCCCCACCCTCAAGGGAAGGGGGGCACAGCTGTGGGGGAGCTAATGTGGATTGCAAAATAGAGTAACTGTGCTGAAATTCAGGGGGGAGGAGGTGGCAGTACTGCACACACTCAAGGGGCTTCTCCTGAAGTGACTGAAAATGTCCCCAAATGCCCTCTGCTGCCATCTGGCCGGGGGCTGGGCTGGTTTTTGTGGATGGTCTGGTAATGCCACTGTTGCTGCCCCCACCTGCCTCTCCACACCTTCAGGGGAAAGCCTGGCTGAGAGCAAAGTGGGAGTCCCAAGTGCTGTGATCCCACAACTGCCTGCCTTTCTCTGTCCTGTCTTGGACTTCCTGCTGTGTTTGAAGAAAAATGTCCTGCGGCAGTTGCCAGCCATCGCCCTTGCTGGTAGAGAGAGGGAGGGAATGCGGGCGAGGGAGAGAAACGTTCAGCTGCCGCAAAGAAAGGCAAGTCCTGCTCCCAGCGGCTGTGCCTGTGCTACAAGATCATGCCCATCTGTTGTTCTTTCACTTGTTTACCTGAATGTTAATGGAGTCGAACATAATGACTTCTGGAAAGAAAAAAAAAGTGATATTTAAAAACAATAAACAAAAAAGAAACAAAGCAATCACCCTTGTTAGTGGATTTTTAATGATGTGTTGTCAGATCTTGTTTCTTTTCGTCGTGTACAGATTTCTGCCATGTCTTCCAAGGGAACAGGCTTGTCTCATTCTCAGATTCAAGTAAAATTCAGGCTGCAGGGAATGCTGTCCTCAGCTGACCCTCTAGGTGTTTTCCCATGAATGTGATGCTCTTTGCTTCATGCCTTGAAACATTTGGATTGTGGCACTGCATTGTTGCTCCAGATGGGGATAAAATTATTCCTGCCTCTGGAACTAGGATTAAGCTGATATGAGTCACTGTCAGAACTGGGCTGGTGTTCAAGAGGGGGAGAAACAATAGTGTAGGCTAACTGGCAAAGCATGGCAGTATTTAGCATCCAGGGTGTGTGCCTTGGGACCTCAGCCTGGAAGTATAGCTAGGATCTTAAACCTTCCTGGCTAAATGCAGTCCCTCTTTGCACTTCAAGTCTGAGTATTTGCACTGGTGTGCTTGAAACAGATGAGTTGAATGTGATGCTGGGAGAGGACCAGGCAAACCAGGCCCCTTTGAGGTGCTGTTGAGTGAAGATATGGGTTATTCTTGGAAAACAACAGTCCTGCCATGTAGGAGCATGTGAGGCCACATAGATAACCCACTGTGAGGGTAAGGGGTGGGTGGAATGCTTCCAGCCTGTTTGTGCTTATATTGCGTGGACGACCCTGGCTTACACTTCTCTTTAACATTTTTCTCCAGAGGTCTGAGGGACTTCGAAAGTCACTGGAGACCTTACTGTGGAATTCTGATGCCTAGGAATATGACTAAGGAATCTTTTTTTTTTTTTAATGAAACAAGAATTTTCAGATAATAAAAACACAGGCATGAATTTTTCTAAACTAGACCAAGCTGGGATTTTTTCCAGTGGAATTCTTTTCCTCCTCCCTCCTAAACTGTTTTTTTTTCTTATTAAAACCTCCTACAGTGTTTCTAACGAGAAGTTTTGAAGGTAGTTTTTGCTTTGGTGAGCTGTGTTTCGTAAGCCTCTTCTGGACTGTTTGTTTTTTTAAATAGCAATGTGCCTAATGGTTTCCTACTAAGGCAGCTGCGACTAACATGTATAAATTGCTTATTCCATTCTGTAATCAGACGTTGTCTAAGCTCTAACTAAGATCTGCAATATTCTCACAGGAGGATATAAAACCAGCCAGCCCTCCCATGCCAGAGCTGTTTATGGTGGAGGTTTCTGTAGGGGAAAGCACCCACACTGCTGGATCTGGCTGCACCCTCCCTCTGCCTGCCAGCTCTGCTTGCTGGGCTCCATGATGAAGGATGTGCTGTGCTCACATTCCTGCTCTGAACCACTTTTCCTGTGCTGGGCATGGCAGTGTGGCCCTTCTAGTTAGGGGACAAGAGGGAGTTTCAGCCCTAAGGCAAAGCAGCTGACAACAGAGAAGATTGTTCTGAAAAAAAGGTGACTACTTCAACAAACTCTTTCACTGTAAGGGCTGTGGTAGAGCTGCAAACTGTGACTGCACCAGAGAGTCCGCAAGAGTGGAAATACAGCCCCCAGGGAGGAAACATCTGTCACCAGTGGGTGCTGAAGGGGAAAGGAAAACAATTAACTACTTGACCAGCTCTTGATTAAGTGGTAAAGACACAGACTACGAATCTCAAGTCCCATATGTACTACGCTGTGCACCTGAACTAGACAGAGGCTGCACATTGTTATCTGACCACTCAGTTTCAGCCTGGAGAGCATCACATTTCCTTGCACAGGGCATAACCCAAGCAGGAGGACACAGAAGTGTGTGGTGTAACCTCTTCAGCTAACCTCTGGCAGCTTGTCTGACTCTGGCAGCCTGATGCTTTCACCGCAGTACCCAGGGACCTGGAGCAAACAGACAACACCTCCCAGCTGCTAAAACTGCTGCATAACTGAAACCCAAGTTGTTTTCACACTTGCAGATACATTAGAGGGTACATAAATTGCAACCAGGCATGCTGCGGACTGCCTGGTGTTTCTCACTGGATTTAGATGGCCCATCTCAAGTGTCAATGGTTGCAAGTAACATTTCTAATTAATCACACCTTTTCCTTTTTTTTTTAAAAAAAGGTGTTTCTTGGCCCAGCTTTGCGAGGGTGTTCCCTCATGTCAGAACACAGCTTTGTTGAGTACCAAAGAGGTGGTGGTGTTAGGTCAGGTGAGACAGCATGTACACAACACCCTGTCTGCCAGCTGTGAGTAAACTGCTGAGATTTCCTCCAGCAAGGACTAGTGCTGTTAAATGCAAGGCTTGGCACTGGCTGCAAAGTTGTGTTGGTTAATGAAACTCCATTAGGTCTTGTTCAAACAAGAGATCTGGGGAGCTTTAGGGTTCTGTGAGTTTTTTGTTAATGTAAACTTCAAGGTCCTCAGCTGGTTCCCTCGACCCCTTTCAGCCCTTCATCACTGCTGTTGGTATCAGGCATGCTGGGGCAATGACAGGAAAAAGGAAAAAGCAGCCAGATTAGGAGAAGGATTTTTTTAGTACAAATATTCTTTAGCTAAATCAAAATGAACAGACACCCCCAACTGTTTGTTTCCTTTTAAAAATTCAAGTAATTGCAGAGAGTGTTAATTTTGCTCATAAAGGACTTCAGATCCCTCCCACACATGCAACGTCTCTAATAAAAAAGGGGTTGCAGGGTCTCCCTGCAGGTCCTCTATAGGCTGACAATACCACTATTATTGTGAAGAATCAAGTTGATAAAAACCTTCATAGCCCGCTTGCATTAAAACTCACTCCACAGGAACTAATTTTATGTAGTTACCTTAAGGGGAAATAGCACCAACATGGGTAAACAGCACTGGAATAAATCAAACGTGCTTTCAGGTGAGCCAGGACCAAATGAACATGCAAAGTAAAACAGGTAAGCAGAGCTTGTTGTAGAAGAGAGGTGGTGCAAAGCACTGAATTCTGGAAATGCCCCACAGGGGATTTCAAGGCCATTGGTAGGATTTCCTTCTGGCAAATGGGAGAGGGCAACTCTATTGTACCGGTCTGGCTTGGTGTGACTGCCTTCTCCCAGCAGAGAAGGATGTGGTGGTCATGACTCTGCTTTTCCTTTTTGCCTGCAGTAAAATAATCCTTTCCCTCCCCACCTCCCCTTAGGACCTCCAGCATGAGCTGCATGTGGCCACATTTGTCTAACCTCCATACTCCTTCCAGATGCAGGAGATGGTGAAAATGCATCTTATTGCTCTGTCTGGCTTGTAGGATCCGTGTGGCTGCTGGGGAATCGCCTGCCGCTTTCCTACAGCCGCAAGGAGAGGGGCCAGCAGTCCCTGCCAGGCGCCTACCCCAGGCTCTGAGCACAGGAGCAGCAGCAGGAGACTGCCAGGGAGCAGCGGAAACAGTCACCGGATGGGGGCCAAACAACAGATTTATTTGCAAGACAGGAGCGGGAGGCGCCGGTCCGGTGCCGAGGATGGTGTGCATTTGCACATGCCACCCCCACACGCAGGGACGCGCTGGCTTCCTGCAGGCACATGGGGCCATCTCCGTGACTGAGTGGCCCCTTGGAGCCCACTCACTGGATACAACCCGCTCATTTGGATGATGTCCTGTGCTGCAGCTCAGATCCACCTTCCAGCCCCCAACCCTCTTCAAGCCACCTCAGTTCAGGCCAGGAAGGGGAAAACACTTTACCATCTGTTCGTCTTCAGACTCTGACTCATTATTTTTATTTCAGCTGTCGCCAAGCAATAGCGAAAATCCCAACACACCAGTATATCCACTGCTGCAAGCTGTCTTGTCCTCAGCCACCAGAGAATGAGCAGCTCATCCCCAGTTCCCTGCAGTGTGCAATACTAAATCTTCTGAATAAAAAACCAGGAAGGAGGAAAAGGGTACGTTCAGCTTCCAAAGGTGACCTTGGTTATCAATATTCACAGCACCCAGGCAAAAAATAAGAACTTGTAGCCTCTGGAAATGGAGAAGTATGGCCTGTCCCTGAAAGCACACACATCCCCATGTGATATAGCGAGGTAGTGTTGCCCTCTTCTGCCCCTCTGAGCCCCTGATCTAACACAGAACCAGAGTTCAAAACAAGAAACAGTGCCATTGTTTGTACCAGTCTATGATGTACCCTGATGCTGTCTCTAGCCTTACAGAAATGGGGCATGCCACTGTTTACTCCACATCCTTTTCTTGCCTGCTCCTTACTACACTCAACTACTCGCTCCTGCTCTGTCCCTGGCACACTAGACAGTGTTACACAGCACTGGCAGCCTTTACCTGGGGTTTATTCTTCACTGCCTTTGCCTGTTTACTGCCCTCCTCCTTTCCCTTTCTGCTCACCTACTTGAAGAACTCATGTTTGCCTTTCTTCCCTCCGAGAACCCATTTGAATTCTTGTGACCGTACTGCCATATGTGTATACATAAAAAAATGGGATCACTAAATGGGGAAACACCTCTAAAACTGTTAGTTTTAAAACGACAGCGTGACTCCAGCTAGATGGAAGACATTTTGCACTAACCCCATCATTGCTGCCAAATGCATTCCAAACACAGCCCTTGTCTCATAAATTATTGTAATTAGCAACACTCCAGCAGGCAAAAGTATGTATTTAAAATCTGAGGATGCATATGAAGTGGCTGCAGTTTATATTATGGGTGACTCACAGTGAGGCCCGGCTCGAAAGGAGCCAGTGAAGCCTCCACAGCCACAACCTTGCCTGGCACACCAAATACTTTTTCCTAAACATAGGGAAAACAAGCTGAATACTGAAGCCACTGGGGAAATGTATTTGTGCTGAAAATTTAAACTGTTTGCTGAAACAAGGGGAAAAAAAAGGTCAAGCCTCTTTGGCCAACACCAATAAAACATTTTCAGACAGAGCTCTGCTTCTTGACACACGCACAAAAAATGTTCTTCTGGGACAGGCAGTGGAAACTTTTTTTTTTGTTATGGATAATGGTTTTATGCCTCCAGTGACTTGGGGTTTTCTGTTTTGAAAATAAACACGTAAGAAGGTAAAAAAAAAAACAAAACACACACACACAAAAAAACCCACAAAGAAACCAGACACTTCCTCTGAAGTGTTCGTTGCGGCCAAGCCCTGCTTTTCCGATGAGAACAAAAGCTGTGACGTCTTTTTTCCAGACCGCGGAGGGAGGCGGCGGTGCCGTGCAGTGCAGTGCCGTGCCCAGCCCCACGGCCCCCTCCCGGGGCCCCGAGCCCGGCCCAGCACGGGCTGCGAAATGTCGGGCGGCGCGGTGCGCCCTGGGAGCTGTAGTCGCTCAGCCCCCTCTCGCCCTAAAAATTCGCTCTCAAAATGTCCCCCACTGAGGAAAAGCGGGAGCCTACAACTCCCAGAAGCGCAGAGAGAGGCGGAGCGGGGAGGGACCGGCGACTCCTTCCCCTTCCGCACCGCTGCCCTCGCCGGGAGCTGTGGTCCCGCCGCCGCTTTGGCCGCCCCGTGGCTGCCGGCGGGGACTCGCTGTCCCGGCGCGCCGCTGGCCGTGGGCGGAGCGGTAGAGGCGGGCGAGCCGGGAGGCTGCTGTGGAAGACGCTGGGCCCGTGCGGTGTCGGGGTACGGGGCGATCCCCTTTCCCTTCCCCGGCGGTTCGCGCCGTGTGCCCGGGCGGGCGGGATGGCGGCCCCCGTGCACGGCGGGAGCGGGAGGGTGCAGAGGCCAGCGAGAAGGGCTTGTGTGGTGGGGGCGGTTTGTATCCAGCAGCATCCCGGCCCGGGAAGGGCGCTGGGCCCGTGGCCGTGGTTTGCGGTGACGGGGGTCTCCGTTCTCCTCACAGGCTGCAGGAAGACTTACAGAGCCTGTTTGAGCAAGACCAGGATGGAAGAGCCCAATGGGGACCTTCCCATGCGGAGAGACGCCGTCCTCTCCGAGTCGTGCTGTGATCATGCTGTGACAAACCTGTGAGTGGTGTGGTGTAAGGGCCAGCATGTTTGGCTACTAACGCTATAAAGGCTAAAACGTCTCCTTAGGAGCAGAATTTTTCCTTTCTGTGTAAGTGCCCTCAGACAAGAGATACCCTGATTCACAGCTGGCAATGAACACTTACTGCCATCTGAAATAGTTAGTTATGTGATTCAATGCCTCTTCTGAGTTGTAGTCATTACTTTTTATGTATTCCAAAGACTATCATTTTAAGAAGATTATTTCCCATTAGGAAATACATGGAGTGCAGTGTTTTCAAAGGCAGTCATCAGATCCCTTTTGTCAAAGACACCCAGACTTCACATGGAACACAGCACTCGGTCTGTTGGGTTCTTCAGAAGATTCTTTGTTTTATGCTTTATGAAAATCTGGCTCTAACTGTGAACACAACCTTTCTTTGAAAACAGGACTCTGTGCTACTCATGGCCTTAATACTTAGCAGCACTTAGTAGTGGCAACGCATAACTATTATTTTTCTATTTTCTTAACTGCATTTAATACTGTTTATTTAATAATAGCTTTCTGCACATGCAAATTATGGTTTGATTTTTTTAAAAAAACTTCTGTTATACAGAATAAAGTTGGCAATGTGAATGTGGAGACTGAGTAAATATAGTGGTGCCTGCCTTATTAGGCTGTGTGTTGTTCTTTTGCCAAAAATCCAGGAATATCTGCAGACTTTTATACCAGCATGAGTTTGTGTCAGATTTAGAACCTGGTTCTGCAGCTTTGGATGATTCAGGGGGAAGGAATTATTTTCGAAACTTTTTTTAAAACTACATTTCCAGTATCTTGATGGAAATGTTTGTTTTCTAGGGTGGAAGTGCTGAGATCTTTGGTGGCTTTAACTGACCCTCAGGAGGGGAAACTGACTCAGTCTCAAGAGAAAGTGAGTGACTCACAGACTTTCCATGTCTGTTTACTGCATCGTTTCAGAGAAACCTATAATTAGGTAGTCAAACTTATTCTAATAATATGTTAGAACTGTTTTCTTAATTTACACTTCTGTGAGTTGAACCAAAGTGTGTGTTTGCCAACTCTTGTTTCCTATTGCCCAGCAAGTGATAGCATGATCATTGACAGCCTCAGTTCAGCAAGGTTCCCTTCAAGCAGGTTGCAGTGTCGGTATTCCAGCTGCTTCTGAAAGTCAGACTTCACATCACGCTGTCATTTACTGACTGAAGGGCCTGCTCTTGGTTGCCCATGGTTGCCATCTCCCCTTGTTTCCATGTTCAAGCATGGCATGTGCGATTAGTTTTCTTAATCCAATGGGATTGATTTCTTGAGCTGGCTTGTTTTCTGATTCCTGGAATCTAGTAATGACATGAGAGCTTAAAGCCAAGGAAGGAGTGGAGCTTGTACTTTATGCCATGTTAAAGCAGACTTGAAACTGGCCCTGATATTTTTGTGGGGTTCCTGCCACTGGCCTCAATCAGTGATAGTGTCCTTTACAATAGGCAGAACATGATGATTGTTGGGACAGAAGGTATAATGCAAAAAAGGATCATAATGGCGGAATCAAGTGTGAGAAATTAGGATGTGGTTTTGTGGATTTATACCATATGAATAAACACAGGATGTAATTTGGAAAGGTCATTGCTGTCTCTTTGAAGATGCCTAAGACAGTTATGTGGGATTCAGATTTGCTCAAAAGCCTTATATTCGTCTTTCAGTATTTGGACCTGCTGTAACCTGCAATGAAATTTGGTGTGTAGCACTGTATTTAATTACTTCATATTCTTGTATTCAGTCTTGTGTAAATCTTTAATTTTAATGTGCATTCGTTCCTTAAATAATGTTTTCATTTGAAGGAAAATTGCTTAGGAATCCCTAAAGTACAGTTACCTGTTATATTGCAGTAATAATTATTTTGCACTGCACAGAATGATGGTCTCATACTTGGTTCTCATTTCACAGTAAAGTTTTTATGCTCCATTGTATTCCAGGCACTAAACTCGCTGGGCATTTGGAAAACTGTATTTGCAGCTGTTCTTGGGCCTACGTCAAAGACCTCAGTGGAGTGACAGCTCGAAGATGGAAGACCAGGAGGCAGGTGAACCCTTTCTGGGGATCGTGGCCGGTGGTGCCAGAGACTATGAAGGAGTTCTGCCCTCAGACACGGTGTCGCTCAGCGATTCTGATTCTGATGATCTGGGGTTAGCGGGTGAAGCAGAAGTTGATACAATATCTCCTGAGGAGCCATCTGTAGATGATGGGGATTACAGATCAGGGGAGACCCCTGACTCTTCAAACAGCAGTCACAGATCTCCAGTCCAGCCGTTCCATCTGAGGGGCATGAGTTCTACGTTCTCTCTCCGTAGCCAGAGCATTTTTGATTCCCTGGAAGAGGCGGCCAAGCTGTCTGTGCCCTCAATGCCTGAAGATAATGTTGTTGATGGGAGGTTTAAGCGTCCATTGCCTCCAACCACAGTTTCAGGTAACATGGTTCCAGAAAACGTGGGAAAGCAAGCCAGACCAGTGCTGGCTCCCAAAACCTCTCCTGCAGTGCCTGACTATGTGGCACACCCAGAGCGCTGGACCAAATACAGCCTAGAGGGAGTTTCAGAGTCTAGTGACAAGACTAACAGGGCAGTGGCCATGGAATTTCTAGAGGGTTTGAAGAAAAGAGGGGAGGAACAAAGTGCAGCTACCCAGGATAGCTACACCCCGTACTTCAACCAGGACCCTTCCAGCTGCGGAGCTGGGAGGATTGTCTTCACCAAACCAACTAAAAGAGGTGTTGATGGACTTGAAAAGAAAAGATCAGCAGGGGAGGATCATAAGAAACAGATGAAGACAGATCTGAAAGGAAAATCTGTTAAGAAGACTGATGACTTGAGGGAAGAAGATAAGGTAGAGCTGGGGCACTTAGACAGTGACAGTGGAAAGGCAACAGAGGAGGAGGAGTGCATGATGGAAGGGGACCAGAATACAGAAGATAAGCTTAGTGCAAGGTTTAGTGGTGCAGCTGAAGAGCCATCAGTGGAAACAGTTGGATTCCACTGCAGTAAGAAAAAGAGTAGGAAAAATTTCCGACCTAAAGTAGATGACGAAGGGGAGGAGGAAGAGTCCTGAAGGATGAAGCACATTGGAGGCATCCAAGGACTTGTATTGTCTTGTTCATATTTTTCCCTTTCTTTTTTTCCTGTTCTGAAAACCACGTGATAGCTTTTTGTCCAATGATTTGTGTCATAGCCACCAAGAACATGTTATATTGTTAGAAATCAAGCTACCTAAAATAAACTCCAGACTTTTTGTTCAGGAGAAATCTGTGGGCGTAGGATAGTTGCACCCTAGCAGGAGAGAATAAGGTATGATTTGTTTGCTTTCACAGCTCCCTCGGGCTTGCTCTGGAGCTGAAGTATCCAAAGAAAAAGAAGTGTTAGCAAAAAGGCTGCAAGGCTTCCTAGTAACTCCCAATTTTAAGAGTTGTTCCTAAATCCTGTGGAATCCTGGAGAAAAGGTTATGAGCTCATTATGTAGAGATTTTTAAACAGTGAAAATAAAACCTAGTCTTCCACAAGGTGTGGTTTCTCCTGACCCTGTCCCAGGGAAGAAAACCTTTTTCAAAAAGGTCCTTCTCTCATTGCCATTGAGAGTGAAAGCACAACAGTGCCCAATTATATTATGATGATATGGTTATCCTTGATCTGCACATTTGTATGTCCTTTCCAGGAGGAGCTGCTTCCATACTGATTCTGTGTGTGGATTGGGGTATTTGTGGGAATGAGATATTTATACCAGAACTGGATACTTTTTTGTTCTATGTGATGCAATAAACTTCTGGTTGTAGCTTGATTTCTTCATCTTTGAACCATGCTTAGTAATGCAGGAGTAGAAGTTTTAACAAATATTCAGTTTATTTGATTTGAGAATTGTCTTGAAAACCTTTTAGAGTGTTACTTTAAGTTTACCGTCTTGTTAACTTCTCCGTCAAGTCCTGCAGATTCTAAAATTCACATTTTTAACATTTTCAGCCATTTTCCAGTTTATAATCCCCTCATGGGATGAATCATCTCATACAATGATTCATGTTGTAGGGAATGTCAAATATAGTAGTTTTATATGCAATGTAGTAAATTTAATAAAGAAGGTTGAAAGATTAAATACTTTGAAAGGTTGTATGATTTGAAACTCAAATTAGTTCAGGTCAGTTTGGACTGACATTTTTTTGCCAGTATTCTAAATGAACCAACCCAATGGTAGCATTTATAACTGTGTAGTGAAAGATGACTTGTTAAGAATTTGTGATATTTCTTGGTAAGCTGTGCTTGCTCAAACTCAGAAGGGTATTTGAGGGAGTGACTTCCTCTGAGGGGGGTCCATCTTACCAGTAATTGACTGGTAGGCCCAAATCACTTGGGGGGGGTCTTCATATTTGAACAGATGCATCATTTGGCAGAACAAGCAAAAAAACAAGTCAAATGAGCAGTTTTGCTCCATCTTTTGAAATTCACCTTTTAAGAGCAGAATGAGTGTAAAGTTGGATGCACATTAATTAAGGGGTCATTGGTAGATTCGTTGGTTGTTCCAGTGCGTGTGTGTGGGACATAACAATTCCAAATTTTTCCAGTGGATAATTAGTGTGCTGATCACAATGAAAATAGTAGCCATTTCAAAGTGGAAGCTGCTGCCTAGAGCAAGACATGCTGGTTGTAAGATACCTATTACTTAACAAAAAAATGTAGCTCAGTACAGACTTACTGGGTTTATGATTTGTGCTTGCTTAGGGTGAAGAACAGGTAGAACTACCAGAATTCCATTGCTGTTAATGGAGTCACAGGCCTGGGGCACAGCTGAATAAACTGGACAAATGCCTGTTTTATGAAGCCATTATAACAAGATTAATATATGTTGATAGAAGACTCATTTCTGAAAGGTGTTTTTGTCAGAGCTGAGATTTATTTTTTTTTCCACCTCTGGTAACAGCTTTTGTGCAACCTACATTTACATTGCGTAGAAGCAATATCGTATGCGTGAGGAAATGCAGTTGAAGCTTATCACTGTAAAACAAGACACAGCCCAATACTTCCCCCTTCTGATGCTGTTTATATTATTCCAAAGAAATTTCCCCTTGAAGAACAGTATTAATACCAATTTTACTGGTGTATCTTTTCATACAGAATTCTAATAAAGCCAGCGAGCTTTTGCATGCTAAAGATGTACAAGCCAGTGTAAGTAATGAAAAAAAGCCACAAACAGTCCAGATTCCCAGTTCATGGGATAATTCTTGGTACACATTCTTGTTTTAAAGTCTCCTAGTGATTTTTTTTTCCCTGACCTTTGAGAGAGAAAAGTAAAATGCAGTCAGAAAACTGCTTAGATGTGGATGCAGCATTCCATGCGGTGTGGTACAGGGCAAGGGCTCCTTTACAACGGGAGGCTGGCAGCAGCCATCATCAGGCATTAGAACAAAAAAGCAAGTGGCAGAAGCTGGCAGTCTGACTGTGGGAGAATCCAAATACTTTGTGTTTGGAAAATGAGTGCAAGCCGCTGCACGCTTGAGGATCAAGCAATAAGCTTCCAGTTTCTGGGGATGACTGAGGAGCTCTCAATAAGGAATACTAGCAAAGGAATATCTCACAGGAGCCAGCGTGGGAAGAGAAGACGGTGAATACAATTGTTTAAGGGTTGCAGGAACTCCAGGAACTGTATGGATTGTAATAGTTCAGTATCCCAGACCTTTTCCTGTGGAAAATATTTCATGATTTCCTTTCTAAGCAACTCAGAAGTATGAGCTTGCTTTCTTGGCCAAAGAAGGGGCTTGGTTTTTAGTGCGTAAATGATCACCCTTCCAAAGGGAGCCTCCCTTAAACAGAGAAGTGTGGAAATTGGCAATGGTGGCGGTGGATTGAGGGTGTGGTATTTGGAGAACAGAAGGCAGATCGTATTTGGAAAATAAAGTGGTAAAGTCACCCCGGAGGAGAAAGCTTTTAGTGCTGTTTGTGGAATGGTTTTGCAGAAAACCTCTATATGAGCAGGGGCAAAGAAAGCCCAAAAATTGAAGCAGGAAGACCAAGAAATCCTCAGTAATGTCAACCATTGACAGTGCTCAGCGTAAAGGCTTTGAGAGCTGGCTCTTAGGCCTTCATGAGATCAGGATTTTACTTCTGCAGTAGTACAGTAGGACAAAACGTTTAATCTGAAGAAATAAGAATAAATTTAATTATCGATGTATGTGATGTCATTCTCAAACTGATCTAGATGCTCTTCTCTTTCACTTCTTTCTGGCAAAGGCCGTTCTGTGTTGGCATTCATCACACCTAATAGGGTTGTAAAAGTCATGTGTTTGTTTAAAAGCCTTAGGAGAAGGGGAACATAATAGTAATTGCTTATGAAACTTTAAAATGTTGAAAAAAAGGATACTGTAGGTTCTATTACTATGCATTTGCTCAGTAAATAATAAACACAGGTTTATTTTTACAGCTGTTTAAGTTTCTGATTTTTATGCAGTTACAGTATTAAAATGCCTGGGGAGCCTGCTACAGGATGGGTTTTCTTACTGAATGCTGATAATGAAGCAATTCACATAAGGGTTTTATAAGCTTCTGACAGAATTAAGTAAAGCTTGAGGTTAGCTCGAGTCTGACTGACTTGAGGTCTTGTCATGTCACAACTTTGTTGAATTATCCAGTTACTTCTTTTTCCCCTGTAGTATATATATGTTCGGTTTATGGGTTTTGAAGGGTATTTTGTGTAATAGATAGAAATAGATAGATGTTGAAATAGATCATATAGAAGGATATCCAAAATCTTTACTGTTTTGGATATCCTGCAGTGGCCGAGAAATAGTCTTTTTCTGTCTCCAATGTTTTAAACTCCAAACAGGAACCCTGGGACACTGAACAAGATTCTTAACTGACAGAAATAATTGCAACTCTGAAGGCAAATGAACTCTGTTGATTAAAACGAAGTAGAAGACTTGCTCAATTTTTATTTTTAATGATTACTGTTATCCATATTAAATATTTTGGTAGGACTATTTCATTGACTCAAGAAACCCCCAAGAAAATCCTCTGTGGCAAGTAGATACTTGTTTATGTGCTTGAAGTTGTGTGAGATTATTCTAACTCACACTAAGTGACAGTCCTTTCCCCTTTTTAATGTATTTTGCAAAAGGTCATTTTTTTCGTTCTGAAATATTAGTATTCTGTTCCTTCCTTATATTCCCATTACTTCTATGTATCTCCTTATGTGGTTATTTTCCAGTCTTTTCTTTCCCCTTGCATTTTTTTAACTCCATTGTTCAACTGTATTAATTAGCTCATCCATAATTGTTTTCAATACTTACGTGTATAGTTTGGAGCTGGTTGTGTGCACAGGAGGTTGGTTTTGGTTAAGACCTCTGCCATTGAGGAGATAACAGCTGTACAGTAGCAAATCTACAAAATAGTTACTGATTAGATACCTTTTTTCTGATATATTGCATTATCTCAAGCTGGCATAAACTTACTAAAGCATTCCTTGTGTGTTCCTGTTGGACCTGTATAACATGACTTTTTTCAGGAAGCCATAAAATGGATAAGAGAGGCAAGGGAAACTGTAACAGGAGTATTAAGATAAGGAACTTTCAGCAAGGCCAAAATTACACTGGAGAGCGTAGAGATAAAGAAAACAATAGCAGTTGTGCTACATAGCACCTGGTAATGCTGAACATTTTCAGACTGATTAAGAAATGTTTGTTTATATTTCAAGGGTTTGTCATCAGAAGCGAAAGACAGGGTTTCCTGCTATTATTTGCGTTTCATGATTGTATGTTAGGCACTTCCCTTTGAGATGCTCCTACCTGGCATCTGAGAAAATTAGAAAAACCGATGTCCACGAAGATTAGGTCAGATCAGGCAGAATAGTGGTATTTTTTAAGCTGACAGTTTTAAAGAAAGAAAAGATTAGGAGAAGGCTGAGAAGGGGGGGGGGAAGATGAAGCATTTCATTCCAGAAGCATCCTTAACAAAGGAAATAAACACTTTTCAAGTAGACTAGCAAAGAGAGCAAAAAATGCTGTATTCCCTTTTCTCCTTTCTAGCAGTGGTATAATGTTTCTTTACACATGTATATTACCAGACAGAAAACAATAAGGAAAGTGAAACCATCACACAGATACATTTCTCCTTCTCTTTATCCCTAAATGGGGTCTGCCAAACCACTATTAAATGAGAGAAATATGGTGAAATCCTAAAGCTGATACAAATGCCTATAAAACTATTACTTACCTGGGTTTCCAGAACTTTAAACCGTTTTTCTTGTTCTTTCAACCCACTAAAATATTTAGACAAATTATCCACCCTGTGGAAACAAAGCAGAACGCTTTGAGCAAAAAGGAAAGGCTTCAGAAGGAATCGTGAAACACAAACCCTGTGTAACTTACTAGAGCCATGGCTCCTCACTGCATTCTGTGCTGCTCAGACATCCCAGAGCCCCCTAAAAGTTTTGTCCTTTTGAAATGTTCCCGGAAGTATTTATTGGACAGAGCAGCATCTCTGGAACACTCTCATGCACCTGTTGCTCAGGGACTCATAAACTGACGCAGATCACAGCAGCCCTTCAGCTTCTGGTGAGGGCCACTTAGCCCCAGCTGCCGTGGAAGTCAAGGGCAGCAGAAAGGAGCCTTCTGTCTCTTCAGCCACTCATGTGGCTCTCCCACCTGTACCAAATGGAAACTGATCCTGGTGTGAGAACTGAGGCCACAATATTTTCTATCTACACAGGAGAGGTAAGCAACCTAAAATTTACACAAGATTTCATTTTTGGGAACTGGCATTTTTTCATGCAGTCCAAAGGAATTGTGTAGGGAACTT